AAACATGACTCTTACCTTGAAGTCTGGTTTGGCAGGCACATAGAAGTATGGTGAAAAACCGTGCACATGGCACACCACACTGTTCCCTTCCATTGTTACACCAAACATGCGGACAATGGGCACAGGACCGACACTGGACCCTGGCATGCCATGCATGGGTTCACCTGCAAATGGAAACAATCAGATGTAGTTTTACGTGTTGCTGATATCACAATTCCATGACCAAAAAAAATCAGTTTAATTCATTTGTGACAGTGTGTACAGTTATTGCATTATAGTGTCATATGCTATCACATTCAAATGAAGTTACAATAGTTTTCACCTTATATAAAGGAGAGAAGAAGAATGGTACAATATCTATAGTTCTTGTGAATGCACAATCAAAAAATGTCTGGAGACACGTCTTTGCAATGTTATCAATTTGACAATCCTGTTTCTCAGACCATATATCAAAGATAAGAAGAAAGTACAGCAAACCCATATAAAACATAACAGACCCCCCACCTATATAATGGTCCAGGTCGATCTGCTGAAAGCTGATCGTGTCTGTCCTGGGGTTGAGGCTGGGTGGTGGTGGACGGACCCACTTCTTACGGGTGTTGGCAGTTACAGGTCCTGTAGATAGTCAGAAAACATCACAAATCTGACATAACAAACAGGGGACATCACATAAATTCAGATATATGTATCTGTGGGAACAGTGCTGATACCATTAGATGTAGATGACATGTAAACTGTGACATGTGCTGAAGGCAAAACTTTCTCCTGGATGCCCTGATCTCCTTGCCACCATAACGCCTTCACAAGGGGTTATGGATAGAGTCCACAAATATAGAGTTGATAACTGGCAAGGGGAGCAACATTCCCTGTTGGAAACTGTGCAGGCCTCAGAACGCTCAGAACTCTATGGTGGCCCAACTCCCCTGGCGAATTCTTTATTTACCAGCCTGTGTTGTTAGGCTAGTGGAGAGTACTGCACCCACCGCCAGCGTACTGATCTCCCCGGTACCCACCGCCAGCGTACTGATCTCCCCGGTACCCACCGCCAGCGAACTGATCTCCCCGGTACCCACCGCCAGCGTACTGATCTCCCCGGTACCCACCGCCAGCCCCAGTCTCCTCCTGCTCCATCTCCTCCATCATCGCCAGCTGCGCTTCAAAGTCCAGCGGTTCATCCTCGTCCCAATCTGATGAACGCGGCTTCTTTGCACTCGGGCCTGGGGTGGGCTTCTTTCTCTTGGAGTCCATGGTTAGAACTTAGATACTGATGGGATAAAGTAACAAATGTATGGATAAATACATCTATACATACTATGGTATGTTCCAGCTAACCGGTTTTACTTTTAGTCTTGAAAAAAGGGGGGGGGGGTTGGCAGGTAGATTCTCTCTAGATTTTATCATTATCATTGTCATTTTCTTTAGATTTCGGCTAAAATGATCCAACAAATAATGTGCCAAGAACCTGTCCACCTGTTGTTTGCTTGTGGGAAAACATATATCACCTCATAAATTTTACTGAAAAAAAATAATTTGCTTCTGGGAAAATTGTGCATAAAATGACATTTTACTAAAAAAAATGCAGCAGGTCTTTGACATTGCTAACCATCTAAACTTCATGTTTGCACTCCTGAAATAGTAGTAAATTATGTTGTTATTCGTGATTTCTGCGTTACATCGCATAATATTTTGTGGACAAATTACGAAAGATAATAAAGTTCTGCAACTGAGGTGGGAGGGGGGTGGTGATACGCAGTAAAAGGTTCGTGTTTTTATTTCGCGTTGTCGGATGGATATAAGGCGAACACTTTACCAAAAAACATTCAAAAATAAGTTAGCAATTAAGGCCAGTGTAAGAAACAAAGGCCTACCTTGATATCAGTGGTTGTATTGCTCAAAAATCCACCAGACCGCTGGTTCCCACTCCTCTGCGGCTTCACAACTTGAAAATGGCGGGAGATTTTTGGTCAAAGTTTGTTATCTTGGTGTTTATTGGCTGGCTGACGAATGCGGTTGAAACAAGGGCGTTTATTGGTGAAGACATGATGTTGTTAGCCTTTGAAGCCTGTCACCATCTGGGGGCATCTGAGTTTGAGAGTAGAATCTAATGGCCAGAATTTCAACAGAACTGTAGATTAATTTGGCCTTTCGTGTGTTTTTGTTCAAAAATCTGCCACACTATTATTGCAAAAATCAAGTTAATCGCTGTGAGGCGCTCTGCAGTAGATGTCCCGGATGTGATTTCTTTGAGCGCATGCGCTGATCGGCCTTTTCCCGTGGCTGCCATCTTGGCTAGACCGTCAAGTAAGTACATGCCGAAATAGCCGTCTAATATCTCCGTCATCGAAAACAATCAGACAACAAAATCCATGTCTTCTTGAAGTAGATTGTACTGGGAAATAAAATGTGTGGATCTTTCAATGATACGGGTTTCAAACCTACCACAAACTGACTTCGCTATGCATGGTTCCCGCTATGGAGGATTCCCCATTCAGGATTATTTTGCACAGGCACTGAGGGTTGTTCGACCTTCCGCCTTGGTATTCATGAAAAATATCCACCAGTCTTTAACCGATATAGTTAAGCCATAAG